TGGCGGGGTGGGCAAGACGGTCGAGATCGATGAGACTGTCATTACTAAGAGGAAGTATGGTGTAGGTCGGTGTGTCCGACAGCAATGGATTTTTGGTGGGGTTGAAATAGACAGCGGGGAGTGTTTTTTGGTCCCCGTAGATAACAGGTCCGCTGCCACTCTTATGCCTCTAATTTATAAGCATATACTGCCTGGTACGACCATTGTTTCCGACTGCTGGGCATCGTACAGCCAAATACAAGGTGCAGATTATTCACATTTGACTGTGAATCATTCTCTCAACTTTGTTGATCCTGTCACTTCGGCGTGTACTAACCACATCGAGTCCCTCTGGCAGAAATTTAAGCAAGCCCACCGCACCAGATTCGGCACTCACCGCACTCTTCTCCCTGCTTACATCGAAGAGTTCGTTTGGCGGAAAAAGTTTTCCGGTCCTGATGCATTCTATCATCTTTGGATGCAAATACAGCACATCTGCTGATTCATTTCTCCCTATCATCGCATTGGATCAATTTTTTGAACGGCTCCGTCATGAGCCATTTTTCACTAACAATACGCTTAGGCGTATGTGTAACATTATATGCTACACTGTCTCTTTCTCTGTCGTTTCCCCTGCAACCCGCCTGCAATCACATGCACAACATTATGGCTAGCATTTATGAACGCTCCCTTATTTATCAGTGTAGTAGGTACGCGCACCTAGGGATGAGTTTACGCATGGGCTTCGGCTCACGCGCGCCACATGCCTCTGAACGCGCGGTGGCGCTCCTCAGCTAAAGATGTGCAGATCATTCTACAATTCTGAAGAATATGGTTGCATTTTCAAAGACGATTGATTCGATTCAAAAAACCATGCAATTTTGATGATGATAAATGTAATAATTGTGATGGCATACCGACGAACTGATGCAAATTTGCAGTGATAAAATTATGATTGTTGTTCTGATTATAACTGTACTGTTCTTCACTTTTATGAATGCGAATAAACGATAATGCATTGGCGCTGTTCTCTGGAATATTCCATCGGTAACACATTGAATTTGTTTAACTTCATCGAAAAAAAGCAGCGAATTTTAAAACTGATTTCGCATTGTTGAACAATTTGAATGCGTAGCAGCAGCAGTTTACTGAATGCAATAATTTTTTTGTTCATTATATGATAATTGATGTAGTTTGCGTGAGATTATCATTTGATTCGATGCTGTGAAAGCATAAAAACCGATTAAGTATTATTTGATGACGGTCAGCCGTTTTGTTGATTCAAAGTAAACAAGCATCTTTTGAAGTGATACGAGCATTTTATGTTTAATTTGCACTTCTTGCTCACTGTTCCAGCAATCACTGCATTTAGTGAGACATTGAATAGCAGATCCAAATTTAACTTCCCTGAAGGAGCCATCTCTTTTCGTTATCAGCTCTAATCCAGCTGATCGTTGATGAGAGGACTCGATCAGCAATCTGACTGACTCGGTTACGTTCTCCAGTACAATTGATTCATTTAATTCACAAAGTGAATGTTTATTCGGGAGAAGCGATGGGGCTCTTTTGCAGCGAAAAAAAATGACTCAAGAATAAATTTTTAAAAAAGATGATCTGAGTCATTTTCATGAACTTTGTTGTTTTGCTTCTTTTTAGATAACATTAGACGATGATTTTCTAATGAACTGTAATATGTCTTGACGTGCTGCAATAAATAAGTCATCGGGCATTGCGCAGCTGTTCTCATATCAAATATGCGTAACAGCAGTGCCCATTTCCAGATGGGAGAGGGATTAAGATGATCGTTTCACTCCCCTCCCTCATTTCTTCCTCTGCTCGACTTCTTGGAAGACCCTGAATGAAAAGACCTATCAATCAAGAAAGTCCAAAGATTTGCATCATTCGAGCCCATAAAGAAGCTCGAGACATTTCGTCTGCTTTACGTGACTATGATCGTATTAGCCGTAAATATATTTGTTATTATCAATTCCGCCGAAGGGAATCTTTGAAGTGTGCATCTGATGAAATGATTCTGATTTTGGCATAAGAAGTGGTTATGTTAGAAAGAATAAGTGAAATCGGATGTGCATTCGAAATGTCTAATGTTTTATTTTCAATCACAATTGTATTCAGGATTAGAGAAGGTGATAAGAATTGTACGTAATTCGATTAAAGACAGGAACTAAAAAAATACCTGTTAATGTTATCCACTCGTATACTTTCAATTCTCAATGATACGGTAAAGACAAATGAGATTGTATAACAACAATTCAGAAAGGCAGCTTAATTAAGTAAAGACCTGCAAGTGGCTGTATTCGACTTCATGTTGCTATAAAAGGTCGCAGTTGCAGTTCTGTCCAAAAATATTCATGTCAAAAATGTTTTGTTCAAGACGGTAGAGGAAGACGCAAAATGTGAGGTGGAGTCAGCATTTGATGTCAAATTTGATTACATCATCATGATGACGGTAGCATACGATATCGCTGTGTTTTTCACGCTTGAAAGCTCCATTGCACCCTTCGATGGTCTGGCAGGCTAACATTGCCCTCTTTCCTTGCAAAAACTTAGTGTTCCCCCGCATAGCGTTAGGAGCAATTCGGGAATCGGTCCGGAAATTCTTCGGTGGCATGAAAGAAATTAATTTTCTGGAATGAAACAAGTATTTTTAACACCTTATCTATGAACTACACAAAAAAATATGAACCTCAGTAATTGTCGCTGCTAGCGCGAAAAGCCGGCATAAAAATGAATAAAAATGATGACTGAAATGAAAGACAATGGTACTTAAATAAAAATGAAATAATTGTGTAATGGGCAGATAGTGTACTGGTGTAACACTGGGCTTTCAGGATCCAATTTGTTCAGAAGGCGTGAGTTCGATCCCGCGTCGATACAGAATCATTGACGAATTTCGATATCACGTAAAAGAAATTTAAAAAATAAATAAATAAAGACGAAATGAAGAGGGCTCAGTTTCGACAGTAATTATCAACGAAAAGCAATGAAAAAAACACACATCAGCAATGAAAAACTTAAAATTTATCAACAACTTCATTTCTATCCTAATTGTTCCCCTGACACCTCTCCCTATGAGAAACACTGCAATATCAGGTCACTCATTGACGGCCATTCATCAATGATCAGACATTTACAGTTCGTTCGTAACAAAATCACAGATGCATAACTGATTTTAATTCGATCATATTTCGAAATTTCAAACGTTTGAGCAGTGTTACCGAGCTGGGCGTGTATTTGTCTTCAACAATATCATGGCATTCACCGCAGTGTTTGCACGGCATTTTTAGATCCCGTTCCCATTTACGAGAATTATGTCTTGAAAAAATGCAATTCGATAAAATCGACACTTCACTTAAAGTTGGTGATTCACTCATGCCGAACTGCACAGTAATGTTACTTGTTCATTGATATATGCTGCCTATCATCCAAGCGGCAATAACTGGATAAATCATTATGTAACAGCGGCAGCTCGGGTTCCGTTCATAAAAAAGCAGTGAATACAAATTTCGTAATTCATCACCGTTGCTTTGTCTTCCATTTATGATCACCTTTCAATCCCCGGTCTATCCTGGGGTTGAAAAACGATTCCGGAATTGAACAATGGTCGGGATTTGGCAAACACTGATTCATTTTATTAGAATCAACGAGAACTGTGATCAGTACATTTTTCATTTGCTTTTAGTCAAACTGAGCATGCTTACTTGTGTGCTAGTCCATTATTTCTAATAGTCCATTTCAACCCTTGAAACAAATGAAAACTTTCAGAAAGACCACGTTTATAATCCACTCTCAAATCGTATCACGCTCAATTCCCTCGGTGCTTTATTGTGGGCAATGTCAGTTATCAATTCGATCGAATAATTTTGTGAAATTATTTTCTTCGCTTTTGAATACAAAAGAATGCAGGAATGATGAAGTGATTTCCAACAGAACGGAACTGATCATATTAAGAGCATCAGAAAAATCAATAACAACAAAAAGTACCACGAAAAATGCGAACAAGAAATGGATGCAACATGATAACTACAACGCACAGCATTATCACTGTCCAACGATTCCGACTGCGATAACTTCATTTCTTGTATTTTCTGATGAAGAAGCAGATAACATTCGCTATTACGCAACTGAAGACGCATTCCAAGAAAATGTATTGACCTTTGTTTCGCTGCAATACCACACAATGATAATTGACTGTTTTGACTGATGACAAATTGATGGAGTGATAATCTATTGGCGAACGGAAGTGGTATGCTAATCGTAATTATTAATTTGAAATCCAATATTTTCTTAATTGGATAGACGGTTGATTTAGATGAACTGTATGTGTGCATAGGATGCAATAATCAGCCCGAAATGATAGCACAGCTGCTTAACTTTATTAACGCAGTTCAGTGCCGTTCTTCAGCCAGAAACCACTTATTAAGATATTCATCCATCTATCTCATTTGACACTTCACCACCTTTAAGAGCATTATTATTGAACAATCGTCTACATAGCCAAGCATTGCCTCTCCATCTCGTAACACTATTTAATACGTCATCAACAAGATCACTTATTTACCCGCAACCATGAGGTTGTTTGTTCTCTGTACTGCGAGTGTGTTATTCCAGTGAGTATCAGTTGAACTAAGACCAACTGGCTGCTCTTCCACATGAGTTGTGCTCAATGATTGAGGAAAATAACTGGTAACGACCAAAACATGACTATCAGTCATTAAAAAGCCTTTGCCTTTAATTAATGAATCAGGAGAGGATTGAATAGGCCAAAGGTCAAGAAATTAAACTGCGAAGATTTTGAAGGAAGTTCCTTGGATCAACTTTACTTCAAATTATATCATGCACGAATCGTACATGTTCCTCACTCCAACTTTGCCTACGACAAATGGTCGCGAAATTTGTTTTAGTAAGCGTCAAATTAGTTCTGATTAAATTTTTCAAAGTCTGAGCATTCACTCTATTTTAAATCATTTCACGTTGCACACTCATGGTTCACAGTGAATTTTATTCTGAAATTAACCTGAAGATGGTTGAAAACAGAGAAGACGAACAGCGACAGCAAATGTTTGCATTGATCAGTAATTTTATTTGACATACGACAACGTCGAATGATACTTCTTATCACCTTATAACAATAGCATCTCAGTGAATTGAATCAACTTCGCTTCATCAGTGAGTCGCTTTTTGATTGGAATAAGGAACTAAATAGAGCATGTTATATTGTTGACTAGCTCACTGCGTGAATTGAGCGGAGTGGCTGAGAGGAGAACACACAAGAGAATAGGCGCAAATCAAAGCTAAGTAGCCGTCGAGTGTAGCCGTCGGTCTGCTCCTAAGAGCGATGCCACTGCCCTCGAGCAAAGGCCCACACAATGCACCATACACATCTTACTTATTTCAGCATTGCAGTCCAGTATCATCACTTTTAGATTATATGTATTAGTTTTTATTCTTTTATAAGTACTGCCTCGCCCTTGTTGCTCATTG